GCCCCTTGATTGTAATCTGCTGTGTTTATGCCTGTTGTGTGCACTCTGAGACCCACTGCTCTTCCCCAGCCTGTACCAGAGATTAGATCAACATCCTGTCTCATTACTGGCTTTTCTCTCTTTAGGATGGCGATATGGGAAGATGGTGGACATGTTTCCCATGTTTATTAAACCTTTCAGTTTTTGAATGAACACGGGAGTAAGCAGTATTGAGCATTTCCAGGTTCAGTGTTAGTAAATGCTGGGCAGAAAAGTCAGAGATCGAGGACTCTGTCCTCAATATTTCTTCATCTTGATCGTAAAACATTATACGTCTGTTTAGACCCTGAGGCCGGATTCACACCGAGGCAATTTATTGTGCGGATTAAGACGCTCTAATGCAAATCTGTGTTTTTGCACGGTTTCAAGTCTCTATGAAGGCTGGTCACACCGTTGCGTCGTGTGAGCGAAATCGCCTGTCACGCAAAAAGGTGCAGGAGCTTTTTTTGGGCGGTTGTCGTGCGGTTTTGGTCCCGTCGACGCCTCTATGCAGAGGGATCCGCACAAAAAAAATTAGCAGAAACTTTAGGCTGCCGTCACACTTTTGTGCTGGGTTGCATTACTGGACACGCAGTATCATGGCTTGTGTTGCGTGTTAAAGTGACATTAAACCCTCAGATTTTTTAACATACAACAATAGTGTAATGTGTGCCTTACTGTAATCCATGGTAGTTTCCCTTCTCTTTGCTGCTCTTCCTTTTAAATCCTCATGTACATTCCTCAATGCAACAGTCTGAGCGGGACTTTATTTTAGTAGAATGCTAAATAAAAGTAGCAGTAAGGCCCCATTCACATATGTGCAGTACGTGACTGTATGTATGTTAAAAAGATACGGACACCAGCTGACTATTTTAATGGCGGCTACATCTGAGAACGGAGCAGTGGGGGACCGCTGGAAAGTTATTTATAATAAACTTCAGCTTTAATATATGAATGTTGATCTATGAATGAAAGCCGCAGGACATAGGGCAGACAGCTCCAAGGTTCAAACACAGGGGTTTGCTGTTGTGTTGCAGCTACATGAGTCGCACGGCCAAAAATTTCCTGTGATCATTCACTAACAACTGCACCCATCACTTCTGTAATTATAGGTATACAAGGCAATTGCATCATTGCAAGGGTTGGTTGGATGGATTTACGTTTGATCCGTCATCCATAGTTGGTCTATTAAATTTTTAGGTTAGTGGCTTTCACAACAGTTTCCCAGGACAAGTGTGCTGGGAATTTGTGTTTTGTATAGGACATGGCTGCATGTGTATTACATGCAGAGAAGATGCTGAATTCCAACCATAACTTTGTGTATGGACCTTGTGTATATACCTGAACTGATCATTTTTGGTCTATGTTGCATTTGCAAAAATCCAGTTACTTTTTCACAATACAGAACAGATGAAAAATACATTTCTGATGCATGCAAATGCATTAATGCAGTGAGAATGTCTGAATTTTCATGTGATGCCAGTGAATATCTATTTCAGTTTAGTGGTACATGCAAAACACATCTCCGCATAAAGCTAACCTACTTTTCTGTTCAATCCTGACTTTTCCTGCCCATGTTGGATTTGATTTTTAAGCTCCTGGTCTTGGTTATAATTCCCGAGGGCAATTATTTTTTTCTTTTTTTTATTTCCAGACAAAAAATAATAATTGAAGAAAAACTGCTGTACATTTAATTGTCTTCCTGCTCCATTGTGTCTTATTGTTCCCAACACAAGATAGAAAATGAATACCAATATATTTTGCCATGGCTGAGCGTCTCAAGCACAATAACAGTTCTCTATATGGAAGACAAAGATATGGCTATTTATTACTCTGTTGCTATGGGCTCAGGAAGATGACATTTCACATCTGTAGAACTACTTTTAGTTATCGTGTCCATTTTATTACATCCTGAATGATAGGTGACTTTCATTTCACTAGGTCGTCTTTTTAATTAAGAGGTATGGGTATTTGTTAACTGGGCTATTAGCTAAGCGACTTGTTAGTTGTGATATAACCTGACAGTTGTTCGTCACTTAAAGGGACATTTATGTTATGACACTTTATTTGAAATTGTATTTATACATAGTTACATAGTATTAGAAATTGAATAAAGACACAGGTCCATCAAGTTCAACCTTTGTGTGTCTGTGTGTGTACACGAGTCCCTGTGTGGTCTAGTTTTGAAGAGTACCTGTACCCCTGTATGTTACCGTCTCTGAGGAAGGTATCTAAATGTTTTTTGAATACTTCAATACTCTCAGCTGATACCACTGCTTGTGGCAGCGAGTTCCAGACTTTAACCGATCTCACTGAAAAAAGACCCCTTGTTCACGCTGGAAGTGAGGTGATTATGTTTAAATTTAGTAACCTTGTCTCGTACCTTTGGTCCTCCAGACCCTTAATTAGTTTAGTTGCTCTTCTCTGGACTCTTTTCTGTGGATTGGGGACCAAAACTGAACCACATACTCAAGATGAGATTTTTACATAAGTAGGGCTGCAGCTAACAATTTTCACAATCGATTAGTTAGCCGATTTTATTAAGTTTGATCGGATTTGTAAAAAAAATGGCTCCAGTGATGGGACTACTAGTTTGTATTGAGATTGTAGTTCATCACGGGAGCAAGCTTGGAGCGGTGGAAGTAAAAAAAAAAAAAAAGTGTGGTATGCAATATAGTGAAATTTAAAGTGTAAAATTATACAGCAATCCAATGCAGAATGGCACTGGCTATAGAGGACTACAAATCCCAGCAATAATACATTATGCAGCACAATATCACCAGCTATAGAGGAGCACAACAAATCCCAGCAATACTACATTATAGTTGGCGGTATTCTGCATTGCACTGGGTAATGCATTTGCTGGGATTTGTAATTCTCTATAGCTGGTGGCATTCTGCGTGCATTGCATTGTGCATTGCTGTATAATGTATTATTGCTGGCTGGGATTTGTTGTATTCCTCTATAGCTGGTGGTAAATTATTGCGCTGTATAATTATACAGCGCAATGCAGAATACCACCAGCTATAGAGGAATACAACAAATCCCAGCAAATGCATTATACTATAATGTATTATTGCCAGGATGTGTTGTATTCCTCTATAGCTGGTGGTATATTCTGCATTGCGCTGTATAATGATTATACAGCGCAATGCAGATTATACCACCAGCTATAGAGGAATACAACACATCCTGGCAATACATTATACACACAGTGTATAATCTATTGCTGAGATTTGTAGTCCTCTATAGTCGATGGTATATATATATAGTGCAATGTACCATCAGCTATAGAGAATACAACAGTTCCCACTATCCCAGCAATGCATTAAAAAATAACAATTGTCATGTGGGGGGAAGCAGGCACTCTTACTTTTAGATGCGAGATCGTGGGCCTGTCCGGTGCCGTTCCCCCTCGATCGTTGGTGAGTCAGGGAGCTCAGAACGGGGAGGAGAGGAGAAGAGGCGTGTCGTCTGTCTTGCGGCTCGGGTCGTGCGTGGAGCCGTGAGCAGGGTAACTAAACGATAGCCGACTAATCGATGATGGAAACCGTTGACAACGTTTTCCATCGTCTATTTTAATCGACTACATTGATTAGTCGTTGCAGCTCTATACATCAGTTCTTTTGACGTAACGGATAATTGTCAAGATTGACCCTATATGTGGCACTCTTTACACAGCACAAAACTTGCTGTACTGTATCTGGATGTTTATTTTTAATAAAAGATCAATACATTTGATTGATTTAAATAATCTTTTCCTGTTTAAGAGGAAACATGCGGTGGGGGATCCTTGGAATTTAGTACTCATCGGAGCACTGATCAAATACAGAGTATTCATTTATTCTTGTGTCTAAGAACCATAACCGCTACTTGCTGCTCAAGATCCTGGCCATGCAAGTGTTGGTGTATTTTGTTTTGGAATGAATGTTCTTTGACTTTGTCTGAATGATTGTTTACCACACAGAATGATCAACTTTAAGGTAATTATTATGGAGCATGAGGTTTTTATTATAATTTTTATTATTAGGAAAGCATGCCTTACACTGTATTAACCTGTAGTAAGCACCATTGGGGAGGAAGGAATTGCTGTGCCACGCATTCTGGTGCAGGCGTTCGCACTGCTGTTGGGGGGGGGGGCGGTGTCATTGACTTGAATGCACCACCATGCCTCCACCTGCCCCAGAACGCAGGTAGCCTCACAGTATGCAATCCAGTGCGTTCCAACAGCTAAACGTGCTGGAACGCACTGGAGTTGGTGTGAACCGACCCTTAGGACAGATGAATGTCTCCTTGTTATAGAAGGTCTTCAGGACTTTAAACCTTTGTCAGGACAGACAGTCCTGCTCATCTAGTTTACAAGTGATCATGAAAGCTGCCTGTACCGTACAGACAGGGTTAGTTATTTGAAACAAATCTTCCTCCAACCCTCCAGACAGTGAGGATTAACCCCTTCGTGACTGACGACGTATCGGGGCTGTTTAAACAGACTCCCGGCGACTTTTGCCGCCGGGAGTCTGTTTAAACTTGTAGAGCCAGTTTTTCAGTTTTGGAGTTAGCAGAGAACAAAAGATAAGCTGCAGTATTTATTGTTTTAAGTTCTGCAATGTGAATGGGAACATGTAACAAATATAAAGTAGGTGTTATCCCAATTTGGCTGCAAAAGTTGAGATATACTTTAAGCAGCCATATGTTGCTTGGCCTGTGACATTACCTAAGCAGGTATGCAGTTTTGTTTGGTATCAAACTGCAGGAATTTTGACAATATGTGATGTATCGAAATATTAGACATTGTGAAATATCACCTAATCTAGTGTATGAGTTGTTCATGTTTTTCGTTTTATGTGCTATTAAGGGGGCTTGCAATTACATTTAAGGGCTTTTGGACTCCTACTAGACTCACCTTTTTAGACTCATTTTAGCCTGTTATTTTCTGGATCAGCACACTTAAACAATTTAATTGATTCTTGTTTTTGTTTCAGAAACGTGTGCAGCAGACAAGATGGACAGCAACAGTTTCATCCAGTTTGAAGTGCCGGAGTATAGCAGCACAGTTCTCAGCCAGCTAAATGAGTTGCGTATGCAAGGAAAGCTATGTGACATCATCGTTCACATTCAGGGCCAGCCGTTCCGCGCACATAAGGCAGTCCTCGCTGCCAGCTCACCTTATTTTCGTGATCATTCAGCACTGAGCACCATGAGTGGCTTATCGATATCCGTCATCAAGAATCCTAATGTCTTTGAACAATTATTGTCATTCTGCTACACTGGAAGAATGTCTGTACAACTGAAGGATGTTGTGAGCTACCTAACTGCAGCTAGCTTCCTTCAAATGCAGTGTGTCATTGACAAGTGCACTCAAATTCTGGAGAACATCCATTCAAAAATTAGCGCAGTGGGTGTAGGTGGGGATGACAACCAGAGTAACCACAATGGAGTTAAAGACGACTGCTACTTTGCTAATCCAGTGGAGATCTCCCCACCATATGGTGGGCAAGGGCGACCGTCGATTGTAGGCAATGACTTAAAAATGGACGGGGTAGCCAGCAACAACTTAAGAAGCCGTCCCCAAGAGGAGGGTCAGTCGGACAGAGGCAGCAGTGGTAGCATTTCAGAGCATGAAATTCAGATAGAAGGTGATATGGTGCGGGAGAACCAAGTCTCTGAAGTTAAAGTGAAAGCTGAAAAATCTGACAGACCAAGCTGCTCCGATAGCTCCTCTTTGGGGGATGATGGCTACCACACTGAACTGGTTGATGGCGAGCAAGTGACCTTGCTGAATGTAGGTTCCTACGGGTCTGTATTGCAACACGCATATTCTATTTCTCAAGCTGCTTCTCATACGACCAATTTGTCTGAGCCCTACAAGAGCATCAGCAACTCAAGCCCTTCCAGGTCCATGCTTAGTTGCTATCGGGGTGGCCGGGCACGCCCTAAGCGGGCATCGATAATAACCACCGAGGTGCAAAATGTGATCCAAAGCCCTGAAAGCGACACCGTTATAAGCGCACCAAGTTATGAGAGTAGCCCCCAGGAGAGGGCCACCAGAGGCTATTGGCATCCGTACAACGAAAGACTTATCTGCATCTACTGTGGCAAGACATTCAATCAGAAAGGAAGTCTTGACCGACACATGCGGCTCCACATGGGAATCACGCCATTTGTGTGCAAATTTTGCGGGAAGAAATACACTCGCAAAGACCAGCTGGAATACCACATACGGGGGCACACCGACGACAAGCCTTTCCGGTGTGAGGTGTGCGGCAAGTGCTTCCCGTTCCAGGGCACACTGAATCAACATTTACGGAAAAACCATCCCGGTGTTACTGAGGCGAGGAGTCGGATGGAATCACCAGAAAGAACGGAGGGATTTGTAGACCAAAACGATAGTAATGTGTCAGATGTGACCATGGACTCCAATATTGAAATTCACACAGTCACTACTACGCCTGACTAACTCACACAAGCCAGAGCACTGTATAAAGCACACATAATGTTAATTAATGCCTATTTTTATTACTTCTTGCTTATTTGGTAATCTCTTTACTATGGAGAAAGCTACTCTTAATCCTCTTGTTCTTTGAGAATGCTTCTTAATTATTCAAAGACATTTTATGATATCTGGGTGATACACTAAATGTACCTTGTTTTACTTTTTTTTTTTAATATATACTTTTGTTCTTTTTGCTTTTTTAAGGAGACATGGTACAGTTGCACTCCTAAAGAAGCATATAGTTAGAGGTGAAAAAGTGAGATTTTGTTTTTAATTATTTGGTGAATGAAATTGTTTTATCTAACAAAAGTGTTATATGAGAAATTCTCTATATCTCAATGATTTATGGATAGCTAAGGCAGTAAGGTTTTACATAGTGGTGGCCTTGACTAATAGGAACAGTGCAGAGTTACAGGAATCTACTGTAAGTTTAGTTCAGCAAATCTGTGCACTTTGCATTATGTGCTGGACAGTTGAGCTTTGGATAGGCCAAGGTTTGAGTTTGTTGAGGTTTATGACTGAATTGCTTTGGTTGGAAGGTTGGACAACCTAAATTGTATCTTTTTTTTTTTTTTTTTCCTTGGCTGAAAATCATTTCTTTTATTTGAATAAGTTGCAGGAAGCCAATAGCCCAGCAACGGGGGAGAAGTTCAGTGACTCGGTATGCCCTTTTGAAAGGGTGTTCATATAGGAAGTTCTAGTTGGTTCTTCAGTGCTGCTGAATGTTTCATTATCGCCTGATATTTGGAACATAAGACAAAATCTGCCCCAACACTATTTCTACACGATTTATGTCTGTACTGACTAGACATATATACATTATGACTTGTAGAAGTCTAATAGGTTGCATTAAAAAAACAAGTATATGTTATACTTTTTAATCGTGACACTTATCAGTTGATTCATGATGTCGCTGGTTTCTTTTGTGCTGTTAACAGTTGACTTCAGTCATTCTCTGTTGGAAAAGTTCTTCAATTACTATGACTATAGACCTTATGAGCTTTTATGACATAACCAAAACCTTTTTTGCAAAAAAATTTTTTAGCCTTTTGACTAACCTAAAAAATTGAAACTAACATATTGTAATTTTTTATTTTTTTGTTAAGCCAAATACACTAAACATAATGGAGCATATGTACATGTGAGTAAGGAGACTGTTGGTCTTGTGACCAGTTATCTGGAAAGTTCCAAAAGACAGTCAATTTCTGTTGAGTAATGCTATTCATTATACGCAAGATGACTAATTTTGTTGCTTGTTTTTTGTTTTTTTTAAAGCTAATCAGACCTTGCAAGTTCTCTAATGTCCCCAGAAAATTGATGGGTTGAACTGGAATATTTGGGCGTTTTGAGTTAAATGTTTTCTTCAACTAAATCAAATGATTGTATACATTGCTTGTGCATGTAGGTGGGATAACCGTTTTCTGGTAGCTTAAAGCAATGGTTCAATTTTCTGTTTTTCATGTGTCTATTTTACAATTATCTGAGTACAGATATAATGTATTTAATGGATTGTGTACAAAACGCTGTACAACTGAGCGATTGGCTACAAGTGTAGTGAGCATTGCCTTATGACTGTGAGAGTTCCATACAAATGACAGATGTTCCAGCACCATCCACTCCATAAGGTAGAAAATGCACTTCTCCAGAACTTTTCTCTACCTTTCTGATCAGATTTACCTTGACATATAAAGGTCAGTGTCAAAGACAAATCTCCTCAGAGGGGACACATTAATGATTTACAGTCTGACCGTTTATAACCCTTCTCTTTGGGCAGATAAACTGTTTTGTTTGTAGTTGGGCTTTAAAGCGTATGTAAAGCAAAAACTTATTTGCTCCCTTTTTACCATTTTTTCTATAGCTGTTTGATGAGAGCAACAAAAAGAACCTGTTGATTGTCAGAAATTCAGAACTGTCCTGTGAACACTCCTTTATCTCAAGGAGTCTAATTAACCCCCCCTATTTCTTTATACAAGTGCAGAGTGGGACGATTTGAACAGCTTGGCAAAAGAAACTGGGAAGGGCTGACACCACACAGTCCACAAAAAAATGTGCGTTTCCAGTCTACAACAGGACTTGGGAGCTGAGTGTATTTCTGGCAGACCAACAGGCATGTTTCTGTACATGTCCGTTACAGGGATAACACATGGGGAAATGTGCATGTGTTGCAGACATGTACTTCATATATAATGTTTGTTTGTTTTTTAGTTTGTTCTCGCATACACTTTAAGCAAATGCTTTGCGAGAAATATGCTAAACATAGGTTTCTATTGTTCAGACAGGTAGAAAGAAGTTCAGAATTAATATGTACCTTTTGAAATTGTTCATTTCGGGAGGCTGTAATCAGTAGCCCATGTCTAGAAGTCAACAGCTGGCTTTCCTTCAGACAGTATTTTGAAAGGAAGCAACAATTTCAGCATTGCTCGTGATAATCAGGCCGTGGTAGGGGATATAAATGTAGAGCAATTACAAGCATTTGTCACAGGCCAAGATACTCCGTTGTTGCTCACTGATTGTTCCCTACTCCCAGTACAAAATGTAATCTACTGCATGTGTACTACATTAGAGCTGGTTATAGAATGCAATATATCCCTGTGTTGTACAATTTGAGAAAGGAAAGGCAGGATTTTCACCATTCTTCATTTTTGAAGAAACACCTGCCTTTTTTATACCTACGTTCCAATCCAATCCTAAAAATTTCTCTTTTGATTTTTGTTTAAAGCTCATTGTTCGGTGGGCTTTTCACTCAGATTTGATCGATTTTTACAAATGTTTGAATAGAAAACTGATCGGATTTTATTTTCTTTCAACTATATTTGTAACAAGTTACTCAGCTCATAGGTTTGTTTTCATTTGGCCAACCTGTATCTTTTTCCAGTTCGATTTTGAGAGATTGCTATACTGTCTCCAGGGGAGAGCTGTAATAAAATATATAATTTTCTTTGATTTTTGAATGATTGTAACTTCTGTGCCCATCCATATTATTGTTCCTTTGGAAATGCCGATATTTGAGGGTTATAGGTTACTGCACACTTTAGACGCAGTGAAAGTACGGTCAAATATAGGCTTTGAGCATCTTATCATTTTGGCAGTGTTTAATGATCACATTCATTTTTGTTGTGTGAAGAAAGTAAACATGCAATTGAGTTTAGAGGTTCATTCACTTTGGAGTTTTACAGTCATGTTGAAGTAGCTGCCGCTTTGTTTTCCGTGAATTGTTTTCTCAGAGAGCTCTCCTCACACGCCACCACCCAGATGCCAAACGTGTGAACCGACATTACTTCAAATGTTCTGCCTAAGAGCTGGTTTTTGTGGTGCTGAATTTTTATCATTTTTAAATGCTTGAGATATTTTTAGTGGTTGGTAGTTTTTATGATTTATGTTCTGTGATTAGTCCCATTTTTACTGTACATAAATGCTTCTAAGGCAATGTTTGACAAAATCACACTTCAGTCTTTGTAGAGAAACATAAGGGATAATATTTATGTACAAACAATACCTCAGACTCTTCCATATTTGTGTTTTTCCCCTAAAAACACACCAACTTTTTCCCCACTTTATTCTAGTTTGTAACGGAGTATTTAACAGGGTTGCCAAAGGCAGTTTTTTTTCCTGATTTGTCTCTCCATCCCACGTTTTTACTAAGTCAGACCTCCCCCCTTTCCTCCATTTATATCCAATGTTTTTCCTCATTGTAGCATTCATTGCGGGCAGGATATTTGGGAGTACTTTCTCTGTAGATAATCATGATCAAAAATCTTCAACATATTTTGTTATTGGATGAATTCCAGAGAAATTATTGCTGTCAAACTTTTTGGAGTTAGTGACACTAAACTCAGGAGTGAAATCTTAAAAACACATTCAAGTACCTTAACTATTAACATAAATGTATCTTATTTGTGTATCACTCGGCTGTAGATCCTTAAATCATCTCTGAATTGGTGCTGACACTGTCCTTCCTTCTGGAGGATGGCTACTTTTGTCTCCCATGGTCCCTGTGTGTGCTGTAAAGTAGTCTGGACTACAATCTCAATACAAATTAGTAAACTAAACATGAGACTGCAGTCCATTACAGGAGCGAGCTTGGAGTGGTGACTACTTTAGAACACACACAGGGACCATGGGGAACAAAAGTAGCCCCCCTCCAGAAGGAAGGACAGTTTCAGCTCCAATACAGAGATGATTCGAGGAACTACAGCCGAATAAGATACATTTTTGTTAATCGTTAAGGTACTTGAATGTATTTTTAAGATTTAACTCCTGATTTCAGTGTCACTTTCAGGTATTTCCTAAAGTTTTCATACACAATATTTTCATGGAATAAATAAATTTTTTGCAACGAGAACATTTTTATAACTGTTTGCAAAAAGGTCTTCATTCAATTTTCCTTTTTAGTATTCTTCCAGTTCTGGCAAATGACTAACTTTAATTGAACTGTGGGCCAGCAGTTGTCCGCAGGGTTGTGGTTGAGCAACTAGCGATTTATAAATAGTTTTATTTTGATTAAAGTTTGTTTTTTAGTTTGGCTTTGCATCCAGAATATCGCATCTAGAGCCTCTCAACAAGCTAGTTCTTTAAGTGGGACTCTGTTTCCCTTTTAAAAGTCCTGTGAACTCATAGGCATTCATGTTTGTGAGATGCTTTTTAAGGTGCCCATACACCTTGCGATGGTCGTAAGCTTATTAAAAGTTCGTACGATCTGCCCAACTTTGGACAGGCAGATCGTACTTGCGATCATCGCAAGCCCACCCCCCTGGGGGGTGGGCTTCCGATGACTGCAGCGAGGGGCGGCTTCCGATGACTGCAAACGGGCAGCGTGCGCACACCGGCCCGTTCGGCAGTTGTCGAACAAGTAGGCCACTAACCCGCCGAGAATCGTACGATTCCCGGCGGGTTTTCCAGTCTGCTTGTTCGACGGAAGACGTGCGACCGTACAGTAGAAACGGTCGTATGCCTTCCATACACTTTGCGATTATCGTACAAACTCGGGATTTTCCGCGATTCTCGTACGATCGTACAGTGTATGGGCACCTTTAAAGTTCTGGCAGCTTGAGCTGTTAAGTTTTACAAAATGTGAAAAAAAGACTGATGGTGGAATTCCTCCACATCCTGAAGATATTGCGTGATACATATACTACTGCCAGACGGTAGCTAGGTGCTGGATATCCCTGAAAAATATGTGGCAGGGAAATATTAGATTGTTGCAGGAGCCAGAGCAGTCCATGGCTGGTCAATAAAGGAGCAGCAGC